AGTACAGCAGTGATCAATCAATTGGTTTGATCATCAGAATTTTTATGAGACACCTGGAAATATAAAGCTCCGCCAGAATTCCCTGGGTAACATTCTGGTCTGTATGGATGTCCCCTGACAAACAGACATACTTGCTTAACTCAGTATTACACAGCTTTCCATATTTTCATTCCGTTATTGAAAAAAAAAAAGTATAAAGTTTGTTTGTGTCTTTTACTTCCTATCTGAAAATTAATTTTAAAAAATCTCAGCCAGTCATATAAAATGTAAATATATTTCAGGAATTTTCTTCATAGAACAGCAGGAGTTACAGAAAACTGCACAACATCTGTAGGTTCACAGAATGAATGCAAAGAAAAGGCCAACACATAGCCTCAAAATAAGATTAAGAAGCAAGGAGATTAATATACTGCAATACTGATATTATTCTATTCAGATATTGCTTATCTGCTATTTTACTATTTATTTTCAAGCTTATTTTCAGTTCAGAGATGAAGCACTGCTCTCTTAAGTCAGCTGGCTTGGCTTCTCTCAGACCAGTGGATTCTGAAAATTCACCTTAGTACCTTAAAGCAATTCTTGCTTTTCCCTCTTCAGCTCCCTGGGCCATCAGGTGCAGGCAGCACCTCCTTCACATCCTGGCCCAGTGAGAGGAGACAAAGGGCAAACAAAGGAAGAGGGAAAAGCTGTGATCTGGACCCCACTTTACCAGGGAATTATCACACTTCTCCTTTGCTCACATAGCTGGAATGCTTGCAACAAAACTGCAGTCGACCTTGGAACTGCATCGAGTTGAGGAGCAAACAACACATGGGAAAGTTCCTTGGAGCTCTTACAAACTGCACTTTGGGAAAGTGCAGCCAGCTGAAGCAAACTGTTCAGTAAATGGGCCAAAGCTCCATGTAAAGTCCATAAAAATTTGAGCAGGGATAGGCCCAGCCTGTGTTTTTATTCCTAACAGAGCGGCATGTACCCATTAATCAGATTTTAACCAAAAATATTGCAAAAGCAATGCAGTTGTACAGGTCAGGGAAGGGCACTGCCATGCTTCTGTTGTGTAGCCCAGGGATCAGGGTTTGGGAGCTCTAATCCTAAACCAGAATTTACAGGACATTAGGCTCTGCTCCTTGCTCTGATGTCCAGGTAACACAAAAGTGGATGCATACACCTACATGTATGCAGAGTCTATGTACAGACATGTACATATATTCCACCACATCAGCAAGATGTTTGAGCAAAATAAAACTATTCATCCTTAAAAAAACCCCAGAGCTCTACTGCCTCATATAGGGGAATACCTCCACAAGCGTTCAGTATAAAAACAAACACTAAAATTTATGCAATTAATGCAAACAATTAATGCAAAAAGCTGGCAAACACTTCCTGCACTCACTAAGGCAGGCACAGCCTGAAGGGCTGGGTGCTTCCAGAGCACTCAGGTGATCAGAAATGCAGGGCCAGAGGTTACAGCATGGTGAACATCAGAAAACAAAAGACAATACTGATAAATAGGTCTGTGAATCTTGAGCTTACATCAAAACAGATGGACTTTGGATACTCAAGGACAAGTGCTTCTTTACTCAGTTCTAACCAAACTGAATGATTTTGCTTCCCTCTGCATCTGTGTCTCGGATAGAGCTCTATGGCACATGATATGCATTGAATCCAAACCAAAAATAATGTTTATTTGGATGACAGAAGTGAAAGCAGTGGCTTGCCATTTAGCCCTACTTCAGTGCTGTCCTGGATTGCCAAGCAAATTGTATTCTCCTTGACATTGTACAGCAGTTTTCTTCTGTTAATTGGGAAGTTTTTCCTTATCTCTTCCACAACCACTCCTCCCTCCAGGGACACATCTGCTGATAACAGGCCATTGAATGTCACTGCATGACTGATAAGAATTACAGCATCCCATTGTGACATGCTTCACCCAGAGGGAGGAGCCAAGCATTCCTAACTGGATAAAATCTGAGATCCTGGGACAGCAAGACAGCTTCTCCACTGGAGAAGCTTCTCCACTGGATTCCCAGAGGAACAGCTGCCTCTTCCACTGGATCTTCAGAGGACGATTCCACCCTTCTACAGGATCCCTGCTCCAGCAGAACCACACCTGGCACTCCAGGAGGGCTGCAGCCACCATTCCAATTGGACTGCTACCAGCATCCTGACCAACAGGGTCAGGTTTTATTCTGACTGTCAGTGTTGTTTTAGTTTACTGCACTGTAATTTTATCCTTTTATTTTCTTCCCTAATAAAAAACTGTTATTCCTGCTCCCATATTTTTGCCTGAGACCCCTAAATTTCAAATTTACATAAATTCAGAGGGAGGGGGTTTACATTTTTGCATTTCAGGGGAGGCTCCTGCCTTCCTTAGCAGACACCTGTCTTTCCAAACCGAGACAAGTGCCTTTTTATCTGTGTGCTGCCCTTCACCTCTGTCCCCTCATTGTCCACCCCACCAGCAATAAGCTCTGTTTTGCCTTCCTGATATTTATTGCAGATGAAGGCAAAGCAAGACTGCACAGTCAAATATACCTTCAGGCAATTAATAAAGATAACTTTCTGGACATAATGTGGATGGACCTTTGCTGGGGAAAACAATTCTGGCTAACATGTGCATTTGAATTTGACTCAGACAGATTCTTCAAGGTGTTACAAATATTGAAATAAATCTGAACAAGTTTGGTAGCTGTGGAAAATATCTTTGAACAGACAGGACAGCCTGGGTCCAGTTCAGTTTTGATGCCTGCTTTGGAATGGTGGTGGTTATGAGATAATCATGACATAACAAAGAGTTAAATTCCTGACTGAAATTTCCTTCACATCTTAGATATCCACATTCTTAAGGTATTAGTGGTGGCAACATTAAAAAAACCCCCATTTTTCTACTATAAAATCTGCATTTATTACAGAACAGAGAAAATAAAACTAAGACTGCAGTATGTAATTAGAACTGCTACCAACATAGTGCTATATATCTGTAAAAACCTGGATTCATATGACATACAATGCATGCCACATCTTCATTTATTGTATGAAAATACTTGTTTCAATCACAGGGGTTTTTTTCTTTTGGGTTTTTTTTCCCCTCTTTTTTTTAGCTTTAGTGTTCTTTTTTTGAAGGTGGAAAGACATTCCAACAAATTCTACCCTGGTTTTGGTGACTTTTTTGGCTGCAGTACAGAGGAAGTTACATTTATTCTTGTCAGCATTTTAGCATGATGATATTGTTGCTTTTTATTAAGCAACTTTCTATTAATTCAAATATTCCCCTGCTAATCAAGTACAAATACTGCTGTGCCCAGGGTATGAAGGGTTCTGCACACAGATTTTCAAAACAATCATGACACACAGTGCCCACTAGCTTTGCCAGTTTGTACCTGGGATGCCCCTGTCAATCAAAAAAACCCAAAAAAACCTCTCCAAATCCTAGGCAAGGCATTTTCCCTGAGTTCTTTCTAGGAATTCCTTACATAAACTGCTACTTAGCACAGTCCATAAAGTATATTTATACTCTTACAGGTGTATGAGTTTTGACCATTTCCTCTGCCTCTTATGTAATTATATAAAAGCTATTATGCTACATGATTTGGAATTAAACAAGTCTTTCACTTCCAACCTGAATACAGGCAGTCTTTATAAATCTTATGCCAGAAAAGTCTAGTTCTCCCCTTATGTATGATTTTTCAAAAAAATTAATGGCTATGTGTCAACTGATCAAAAAGAGAAAAAGGTTGGCTGAAATATTTGAATATGCTTTACGAAATTAAAAGAATGTATGCTCCTACCAGATAAACCAAAGATTTTGTTTCTTTGAAGGTGATAGTTTCATATATATCTGCACTGCAGGCCTTATTGACCCATTCATTTAGGACACTTATGATAAGTTATGATAAGTTATTTTAATAGTCAACTTACTTTCACCTTCCCCACAGCTTATCCTTGATAAACAACTGACTTCAGATATGCTCAAACATCCTTATGGATCATGTTTTGCACTGGATTCTGTTTAAATTGTCTTTCCAAATCAAACAAATCCTGCTAAAAGGAAATGTCTCCACACACGGCACAATGGAAGGAACTCACCCAGCTGCAATCTTAACTAGCAGCAGAGTGAAACTTCTGAAGGTAAATCCTATTTCCCACAGTATTATTTAACCTATAAAAGCAGGGAATATAGAAGCAGAGGCCAAACTCATTATTCCTACTTCCTTCTCAGGACAGCATTCCCCATTAGATTCAAGCTGAGTGATTTTGTTTATTGAGAATACTGAAATTTGATCTCAGGCTGCTACTGCCATATGAAAGAGGTTTTTAAAAATTATTTTTTGCTTATGTTTTTATAAAGAGCTTCAAAGGGGAGAAGTGTGTTATTTTTTTCTCCTCCTACTGAAAGCAAATCAAAGTCCCTTGAGCTACATTTTACTGTTTATACACAAGCATTAAACTGCCAGGATATAGCATGAATAGAACATCTGAAAACAACTTTCAGAACATTGCAACATTTCATAACAAGACCAATGCACTGACTATAAATCACACTTAACCAGTACATTTTCAGGTTCTCAGATAATATGGGTTGAGAGGAAAAAATTAATGGCCTTTGTGTGCATAAAAACTACACAATAAAGTTCATTCATGAATATAAAATAGCACCTGTTATTCGTACTGAAATGTTTTCTATGATCTGAGCTCAGACCACAATTTAAATCTGATAGTCAGCATATATGCCCCATCTTTATGTTACTTTATGTAACAAGAAATGTGATAAATTTTAACTGAACCATTAATGTCTGCTTTTCAGCTTGTGATGGACTTAAAAGTCTACAAATATACATGAAGAAAGGTATAATAATAAACTATTTGAAAAAATGAGTGAAAGATCTGAAGTTCTAACTCCTGATTCTGTTTTCCTGTGAACTTTAAGAGAGGTCTGAAGTTTAGAGAACTTTATCAATTTCTCAGTTCATGATAAAACCCATTATCCACTGATAACTCACCCTCTTCTGCTCTTTAATATACTCCATCAGTTCCTCTGTTGTCCTTTTCACTGCTTCTTCAATTGCTTTTTCACTTCGTTTCTGCTCCTCCATTAATGCTTCCTTGACAATTTCCTTTCCAAAAGAAAAGGATGTAAGTGTATATGAAAAAAAAAAGTCACAAATGTGATAAAAGGTCATCCCTTTTCCTCCTGCTAAATTTTTATTGCCTCTATACTCTTTTCCCAGGTATAGTTATCCTAAATGTATGCAGTATCTTCATAAAAATTGATAAATTCAGTACTAAAGGGTAAATGAGAGAGAGAAAAAGAGAGAGAAATAATACATTTAAAGCTATATTAATAGAAATACAATGTTCCCTGAGAGCTGAAAATGATAAAGCAATTCAGATTTTCCCTTCCATCAGGAGTAGGGATGGCAGGGATTTACCAGGTGCTGTTATTCAGTTGGAAGTGCCCTACAAGATCATCTGCTCCAGCTGCCTGAGCCCTTCAGGCCCAAGAATTAAATTATTAAGGGATTCTCCAGAAACCTCTGAAACACTGACAGTCTTAGGGCAGGACCAGCTTTCTGCAAGCCTCTCCCAGTGTCTGACCACCCTCTTCTGAAGAAGAGCTTCACAGTGTCCAGTCTGAACCTCCCCTGATGCAGTTTTGAGCCACTGCCACAACGCCAAAGTCGGTTTCTAACCTGTGATACAAATTATCAAAGCTTTGTGTAAACTTATACAAAAACTTGTCAAAATAATTAATTTGCTTCCAAACTCACTGTATTAGCATTACCCTCCATCAAATGCATTACAATAGAGAACACCAGGTACCACTTTTTAAAACATCTGTATCACGTGCAGCAGGGAAGGAAACTGCTGGGCTAAAGTCACTGTCCCAAAACTGAAGTCCCAGCTTCCCAAAGCCACTCATGGAATAAGTAATGACATTATTAATCCAAGTGTTCTGTTTCCAAGATTCAGGAGAACAAAATGACAAGACTCAGATTCCTATAAATCCTGAAAATGCAACATTTTCAGAAAGCGAAAAAAGCAACCAGTAAAAGTGATCACATGATCTTAAATGTTCTTTCAGAGAGATCAAGGGGACGATGGAGAGTGCCTCAGAAATCAGAGAGAAATTGGCAATTCCTGTGCCTTTGTTCTAGACATTCCAAATTGGAAGAAACAGAAACTCTGGTGGTGCACCTGAAGAATTAAGCAGGAAATGGAAAAAAACCTCAGTGGTTCAAACAGGAACACAACATGACTTCTAGCGTATTTATTCACACACATGATTTATGATCTTTAAAAATTTTTAAATCAAAACTTGTAGAAAATCAAAGGTAAATATAAATGGATTCCTTTTTACTCTTCACTGGTTAGACATAACACTGCATTACCCACAGATTTGTTTACAGGTTTGCTTGACTGCAGAGCAATACAGACATTTTATGATACCTATTTATAGCCTGGATTTGGGGGAGTGGGGAAGGTTGGCTGGAGGACAGGTGGAGTAAGGTTTTGGAAATAGAAGATGTTTATGAAGTTGCATAATTCATCTGTATATTTAAGAGTGGCATTTTACAATATCCTATTAGTGTACAAAATTAATAATCCACCAAATTGGATCAAGCTAATTTTTTTTTAAAGTCCCTTCAGTGGAAGTTATTCAACTGAAAAAGAAAGCTGTATTTCTTACCTTTAGTTGTTTGCTCTATTTCAGCCAAAATGGAATAGTTTCTGCAGAACTACACTTTTGCTATTTTCATAGCAGAAAAAGTCTAAAATCCCAAATTTAAAATGTGTAACTATGTAGTTCCCACTGCTCTGGAATGCAGTACACATGAAAATCAGTTGTGAAAAGTGATTATGATTTTTTTCTGTTTTAATTCAGTTTACCAAAGAAAAATCCTGAGAAAAAGGTTTCTTTCACTACAGAACTCTGGCAAGACTAACAGAAAAAGTAGCAGAAAATTACATATTACAGAAATATGCTGTTCTTATAATTATACTCTCATGCCAGTTTAATTTGTCAAAAGGTCCCAAAATACTGTCTTGTGCTAGAATGGAAAAAAATCCCATAACTTATCCCATTAATCTCTTCAGAGCAAATTACAGAACTGATAAACTCCTATATCTTAATATCTAGAAAATTTTACACCCATAAAATACTTACAATCAGTTGAAGTATGTTAAGTATCCTTGATACGATACTTGAAACACTACATAATCCAAATAAGTATTTGGACTATAAAGTCCAAATAAAAACACAATTAAATTCTACAAGTCTATTAATAAAATACAAGAAAACAGAAACCTCTAGCAATACCCTTATGGAACTAGTTCATTACACTGACATTAAAACAGAAGAAGTAAAATTGGAAAAAATTCTTTTTCATTTCTGCTGGTATTGGCACAAATCTCCAGGGCTGTGGTTAAATTACCATCCCTGGAAGTATTTTAAAAATATGTAGGTGTGGCACTTGGGGACATGAGTTAATGGTGGCTTTGGCAGTGTGAGGTTAACAGAGGGACCCAATGATCTTAAGGGTCTTTTCCAACCTAAGTGATTCTGTGATTCATCTACCACATTCTAGTTAACCACATTAAGTGCTGATGCATCTTCCCAATTTATAAACAATTCTCTGTTTCGGACACAGATTACCTCCTGTTACCACCTGAGAATCATCTCAACACTTACTGCCACCAGACAGATCCTGTAGCCACCAGACAGGACAATCTCATGTGACAAAAAGACTCCTGCTTTAGTGGGCTTCATCCCAACGTTTGGATTTACCAGACTGCGGGCAGCTGTCCACAACACTTTTGATTTATTGGGGTTTTTCTGTGATTATTCACAGGATGAATCATACAGATCCGTTTCTCTGAGATCCCAATATCTGTTTCTCATCTGAGCTGAAATGTTACCCCGCTGACTGGTTTCAGGAGAAATTAAACAGTTCCATAAAACACACATCTTTCTTCACAGGTCATGTCTTAAAAACCAGCTCCTACAACCTCTGACAATGCTCCTGGTTTGCACTGTCCCCTACCTGCAGTTCAAAATGGGCAAACACAGAGTCCTGTGAAACAATGACACTCGAGACTATCAAAAGACAGCTTTGCTGTGATATCAGTAAATGGAAAGAAAACTCTTTTATCCCTTTCACTCAGTTCAGAAGTCTTCAAAGAGCAAACACTGCACAACAGCTCCCTAGTCAGCTCTGTCATATTCTTTTGATCTTAATAATTGATAATAGTTTTTCCTTCTGTGACAAGAATCCTCACTTCTTTTATACAACCTTCCACTAAGTGCTCTCCTCTAGGTACTCAGTTACTGTCTGTCTTTGCTCTATTTCTGTCATTAGAGCAAATTATCAACAAATATAAATGCATTTAAATTCAGATATCACCTATTACTGTTGAACAAAACCTTAGCTGCAGGTACGTTCTCTCAGCATGTGTCTACTTCTCCTTCATCTCTTTCCTCTTTCCTCTAAGGCTATATCAACCTTTAGATACTATCCTAACTTAGATTTTGGTTGCAAAGGAAAAAATTTGCCTTTATTTCATCCTTAACTAGAAAGTGTAGAGTGTTATTTGAGCCTCTTAATGCTATTTAATGGACTCAAGAAAATGGAAAAACCCAGTTTCCTGTAACAAGGTAAGGAAGAAAACTCCACAAAGTGGCACTTGAGGCGCAAGTCCTCTCTCTCCTCCCTTTATTTTTTTTTTACATATTTGATCAGTGGCTGGAGTACCAAATTATAGTCACAAAGTTGTCTTTGTTATGTGACTCTCTATACATGTGCTTGACATGACACCAGTTAGAATATTAAGAATGCCTAATCAAAAATAAAATACAGACATTCAAATACTCAATTGGCAAACAATAGTCAATCATGTATTAGAAATGACAACCACACAATCACAACATATAAATGTGTACAAAGCCAGAAAGAAAAAGCAGTGGTGCTCGATACACCAGAGAACTCCAGACAGTATTTAAAAAATAAAACAAGCCATATGTTGCTTTGCAATTTTATAGGAAAATTCTTTTGTTTCCACACAAGGATCAGGTGGCAGTGCTAAACTTTATCTAGGAAATGCAACCACAGACTGCAATGTTAGTGGTTTTTCAGAAAATAGTAACCCTCAAATTATAATGTCTGTGGTTACAAACTACTACAGTCTACTTCTGAACTCAGACATGGTTAAGGTCTGTGTGCTGTGAACTATTCCTTTTCCAGACTTTGCAAGCATATTAAAAATAAACTCATCTAATGGCAGGGATCTCTTTCCACTCAGCCCTGCTGAGTTGTGTCCTTCCTCACACACTCAAGATTACACAGGATTTTCTTTCAATGTGTCTCCACAAGCACTGGCCACACTAATGTTTCTACTAGATGGTTGAAAAACAAGAAGAAAGTAAAACTGAAAATGATGGTTTGCTATCTTCTTGAGAGAAATGTAAGCACACACTCCCACTGGAAGTTGTGCAATAAAGGCAAGAGGAAGAGGAGAAGAGATCCTTTGAAGAGCAAGTTCTTCTCCGGCACATTGTGTGATACCATGTTATCAATAGACTATTTTGTTAGGAATTGGGATATAGAGGAAAAAACCCCAACAACTGCTTGTATGAGTCCACAAAATACTGAACATAAAGAGCAATGTTACAACAGTCCAAGCCTATTACTGAAAAACCATTTCGTCTTCCAAAGATTAGCACTGACCCACCCAATGAAAATCCTATGGAGTCATAAAAAGTTATTTCTGAAATTGCATTTAAAAATATGCCACTTTGCTAAGTACTTCAGAAACAGAATAGAGGGAATATTTCAAATTCTGACTCCTCCACAGGACTCTGCAACCCTTGTAAAAGATGAAAAAAATAACAAGTGGACAAAGAGAGATTGATAAACATAATAGTTTGTATTCCCTTAACTGACAATGCCCTCAAAGCTCTGTGTACCATAAACACAAAGAGCTTTTAGGATAAAGAAATTAAATTTCAAGGAAGTTAAATTATTATTGCACCATGTTAAAAGCCTCCCTAGTAAAAAAAAATCATAGAAGAAGGGCAAACAATGCCAATATAGGTAAAAGTTGATCTTCTGATAACAAA